TAAAATATAAGTGCGAAAATATATTTTAAAATATAGAATTAAAAGTTGTTATCGACCAAACTTTTGCTTAGTTAGATAATATTAATTTTTTCAAGCTAGTTAAAAACAATATTATTTATTTAAACAAATTAACTTAATGCTATATTAAAAAGAAAAGGAGTGATAGGACTAATTCTTTTTGAAAATTATAGTACTTAGGATACAATTAACTTCGAAAGAGAAATAATTATAATATTATTTTATATATTTAAATATACTATGTTAATCAATCACCTGTTATAACATCATAAATATAATTTTTTTCTTAAAACATATTGTTTTATAAATTATGATTACACATCAATAACATATTTGTTTTTTCAACTATTTCAGTATTCGTAAAAATTAAATAATATTATTCCGTGTGAATTTATAAAAGAACATATTTCAGATAGAATTTTTACAGTTCTTTTTCTTTTCATTTAATGAAAAATATAGTTTTAATATATTTCAAAATATATTAATATGCTAATAATATTAAATATACAAGTGTCTTTTTTGATATTTTTCACGGTCTTGTATACTGATGCAATAAATAGTAGTAAAAAAACTGTGACTATAATAAGTGACTTATTAATGCATTCCGGATGGGAAAAATTAACTGAAATAAAAGACGCCACTTATTTTAATAAAAAGAGTACATTAAATGATTTATTTAAAACTCCTGTAACACCAGCTAATTGTGATACACAAATTCGCAAAGCAACAGTAATTCTTGGATGTTCTTATGCTTATGTTTTAAAGATAATGTTTTATGCATTAATTCAATTTCAAAGAGATTGTCAAATGCACGTAAATGATCCAAAAAATACTGAATATGCAAAAAATTGTACAATGAAACTAATAAATATAACAAATGATATTATACGGATGTCAAAGAGAATGAAAGGAGCTTTAGATGCTTTGGAAAATTATCATCATAGTCCATGGCAGAATAACAAAAAAGATAATTATATTTTGAGCAATATTATTTCGGCTTTGCAGCTTTATGCAGATCTAACTAATCGATTCCCCTTAAAAATCAAATGTTCAAACGATATTGCTAATGCACTAAATACTTATGAACATTTTTTTAATTTAAGGTATAAAGATCTTAAAGTGGAAATGGGAATTTGTACAATAAATTCCCCAGACTCCGACACAATTTGGAATTTATGGGAAAAAGAATACAAGTATGCAGGTATTGAACAAGAATTTTATAAATTTATTACTGGAAAGTTAAGTAATTTAATTTTATCAACATTTAATGAAAAATATCAAAATCTTGGATTTATGTACGACACGGAAGAAGATAAAACAATTTTATCGAGTCAACAAGGTATAAAATTTAATTCGTCCCTGTCATAAGGGAATTTTGTGATAATATTTTATTAAGTCATTTAAAATAACTAATCATTTTGTTTTTAATTAGTNTATTTTATTAAGTCATTTAAATCAACTAATCATTTTGTTTTTAATTAGTTATCAATAATGAATCGGAAGAAGATGACGTACTAATTGATATACCTAAAGAACATCAGTTTTTTAATAAGTATNTAATAATGAATTGGAAGAAGATGGCGTACTAATTGATATACCTAAAGAACATCAGTTTAATAAGTATCTTTAAATTAACTTTCGTCTTTGTTATTTTTATTATAATATTATAACTAAAAATTATATTTGATTGCATGATTTTTATTTATTTTTTCTGCCTGTCTCGACTTTTTACTTTTTACAATTATGTGCTTTTTTTTTTGTGTCTGTCTCCTTTTTTTCTTAGTATCTAAGGGACCAACATTTCTCAACCATATTTAAAATTATCCCTAATAGTATCTAGTTTAACTTATTATTGCGATAGTTTGAAAAAAGCTCCTTCAACCCCCAAATGGAAGTAACCTTCAAAAATTAAAATTGGTTAAATCAGCAAATTTTGATATATTTTTGATTTAAAACTGTCATATCACGTTAAAAAATGAATAAATCAAATTATTACTTTTTTAGAGCTACTTTAGGTAAGTCCTTTCATTAAATATTTTTTGAAAATTTGTCCCTTAAGCTGCCAATAAAATAAAATACCAACTTTTGTAAGATAATTGAACTTTTTCAACTGGTATTACGTAAATAGGGGTATTTTTCAAAAAAATTACGATTTTTAAAATTATTAATTTTAATCTTTTTTTTCTACAAACTGTCAAAACTTTTTAAAAAAAAAAGAATCAAATAAATATTTTTTATATAAATTCCTAAAGTTCTCTCTTTTATTTTATTTAAAATGTTCGAATATCTGACTCTTTACATGCCCCAAAGCGTAATTTATAACACCGTTTTTTGCATGAAAATGTAACTATTTTAACTTAACTCTTGAAAATATTTGGGAATTACTCCAAACTTCAAACACATTATAAATTAAATCTTATGTTACATATTATAAATTTAAAAAAAAAAAAACTTTTAATGTCAATTCATTAAGTATATAAAAAAAGAAGGGGTCAAAAACAAATGTTATCAATGGATCATGATGAATTAAAATTTCAATTTTAAAATAATAATTAACTAAAAGTTAAAATAATTTAGAATAATAAGTGTGTTAAGGAGTGTTCATTGTAACTCAGGTGTAAAAGTTCAATGTAAATCTACTAAATAGTTAGTATTATATCATCATAATGTTTTGATTGACAGAATTTAATATGAGCATCTAATAAAAAAATAGTAGGATATATTGATGAAACACTAGCTAATTTGATTAAACGTGGATAAATAAGAATGTAGTGTCTGGTATTTAGGTAACAAGCCTCATATTAATAATTTTAATACACGTTTTAGAACTGCAAATTAATATAAATAGAATAATAATTAAGATAATATACTTTTCGTTTCATGCTTAAATAAATATTGAAAACAGGAAATATTTTTATTTTAACCTCTAAAATCTTTTGTTTGTGCCAGAGGATAGGAACACCTACATACCCCAACACAACAGAACCCAACCCTGGTACCTACATATGTTAGAAACAATACGTTTTTTACAGAGATGATAGGCTTTTGATTTATTTCAATTTCTTCTTACCGAAATTCTGATAAAAATTATATTTTTGTTTCAAAACCACAACTAATAAATAAAACATATTGATTAATAATTTCATATAATAATTCTTTCTTAATCATAAACAGTAACTCAATTATAGTTACAATATAATGATAATTATTGAAATATTATATTATCTCTTATAATATTAACATATAATGATGTTATCGTTTGTACATGTATGTCACATATTATGAATATACAAAATCACCAAAACAGGGTTTCCTATTTAATAAATTTACAAAATAATCAGCTAATTATGGGATAAAATCTACTTATTGTACAGATTTTTAATTAACGCCTACGCTCAGCTCCCACATTATAATTAACCAATAAGAATAGAAAGCTTCATCTTCCATGATTACGCTAGGGGTTGTTAGACTATCCACTTCTGACTATGAAATGCCTTCCCCCCCCCGTCAAAACCAGTTCTTTCGATAATTTTAGAATACTCAATATCTGCGACACTACTCAATATTATCTCTCTGGAACTTTGTCGTTTTTTAATTAATTTGGACTCAGAATATTTTTCAATTTAAAAACTAAATGATACTTAGAAATATTAAAGTGAATTTTGTTTTGGCGAATATTTTAATTTAAGTTCATTAAATAATATAATGTTTCATTTATTGATTTTTCTTATTGTGGAGATAAATTTCAAATAATATTTTATTTCAATAATAAATCCAATCCAACTTTAAATTTTTATTTAATATTAAAAATGTATTGTAAACTTTTCTTCAACGCATCGCGCTGGCAGACAAAGTTAAAGGTCACGATTTTCTCAGTTTAAACTGAGATTTAAATTAAATTAATAATAATCTTACTGGACTAAGTGTATTGCAATCCTATACTTATTGGGTAACTAGTCTCGTCGCAAATGTGTTTGTTTTAACAAACCTCGCGCAGGCAGAAAACGCAGAGAAACTTACGAGTACATTTGCAGTTTTTAATTTTTGTCTTGGTGATTATTGTGCCGCATCCTTCCAAGACGTTAGCGCCAGGACACATTGGACTACCACAATACCACCTTTATAAATTTTTTACATAGATCTAAATATTTTTTAATCTTGTTTTGGCTAGGTCAGAGAAAGATTTAAGAAATATTGGTGTCGATCTCTCACTAAAATATACTTATTCGACAAAGCTAAAAAAATTAAATAAGGGCAAATTAGAAAAATATTAATAATATGGAGAGTTTAGAATCTTTTAGAAATAATATCAGTCATAGATTTTGTGTAGTTAAATTTTAATCTTTTTCGTAAATAATTGAACGGGCTGTATTATGGAATCGTATACGTAGTGCACTTTATACCAGAATCAACGTTGGATTACTTAAAATATAATTGCGTGACATAGGACATAAGGCAGGTACAATTTAACCTATGCTTCCGAACCTCAAACAATCTATTGCCTAATAAACAATTAAGAAAAATTCTATATTATTAAGGGATATTTAACATCATTTATTCAATTCTATTCAACTCCGAGATACTTATATTTATCCATTATTAAATTTATTATTTTAAATTATTATTTATCCTTACATTAACTATTATAACCATTCCCCTTCTTTATTCTATAACCACTTGATTTTCTATTTTTTTTTCTTTTTGGTTTATTACTTTATGTGTTAATGTAGTAGAACCCTAATCTTAATTTATAATTGTTGAACATATTGAATTATCTAGTATAAATACTACTAGCATTATCAAGTTCTTAAAAAAACAAATTTTAATAATCTTTTTCCGTGTTCTCGTTAAAATTTCATATACAAATTATGTTAAAATAAATAAATTCCCCCTGGAGTTATCAATTTTTAAATTACAAGAAATATCACGTAGGTGCATTAAAGTAATTTAACGACCTAATTAACTTTTGTCAAATTCATAAATATAAAAAATTCTTGTTTTATTTACATTTTTATGTATATAAAAAAGTATAAATAATTAACATTTATGGTTATAAATAATTCTATAAACTAGACACTGAAATACTTAAAATATTTAACATAAAAAAATATCAAAAAAAAAAAAACTCGACTATTGAGTATCATCGATGTTTAAGCTTCCATTAGAAGAGCTTTTAGAGTTTTTGAAGTAGAAGGGTCGTTCAAATGGGCCGTAGTATACCTGTAAAAAACACAACAAGTTGTACAATTGCCTGCAACCTAGTTGTACATAATTTTCCTTCCAGTTATCAACTAGAAAGTTGATTTGACACCAGTCAATATAAGTTGAACTGGTGTATACAAGCGAGTCATATAATATTAAGGATACGTAATAATTATAAAAATGAATATTGTGTTAATAAACCATTTATGTTAATAATAACCTCAATGCATTCAACAGGTTTTCCGTTTGGAATTCTTCTGGTTGGTCCTTCAAAAGTCGAACACAACCTTTTACATCGATGTTAGAAGCCTTGACGAAGGCACCGTTTGGATGAATGTGATCATACAATATTATTAATCCAACCAGTACTCGTAACATGAACAGATGTGTTTCTTGTTTCCTAAACTGCACAGTCCTGAAAATATAAACAAAATTATAACATGCGGAATAAGTAATGACATAGACACGTGGAAATAAAGACGATAGAACTTATTGATAAATTAAACTAACGGTGTTTCTAACATGCGTATGCAAACTTTCACCATCGTACTGAGCATATCGATTGCATAATCCACGAGTCGTTTGTCCTGAAATTAATAAAATTCTTTACTTCATTATCAATTGTGTTCAATGGAGTGTTTTTTTATTAAGTATATGAAAATAAAATATTGCACTCGTCCTCTGATCTGCGTTTTATTTTAAATAGTATTAATATCAGTATTTGGCGCATTTATATACGATTATAATCATACGAATTCACATAATATTAAAAATAAAAAAATTTATTCAATTAAAATGTGTACATTACTTTAAAATATCGAGGGAAGCTATATATACACGCATTCAGTTTAAATTGGGGTTCCTTAAATTTTTATTTACAACTATAATTGGCCTGTTTGATTAGAAATAATCACAAAAATAGCAAAAAAAAAAGAAATAGGGATGGTAATTTGTGATATTTAAAATACCCCAAAATTGCCAAATAAACGACTATAGTTTGGTAATGGGCTCTATACTCCATTATCCTATGATGTTTCCTTTATCTTTTCACTCTCTCCTTAAATATCATTTATAACTACCACTGATTCAATTTGATCATACANTCTTAAATTTTTATTTACAACCATAATTGGCCTGTTTGGTTAGAAATAATCAGAAAAATAGCAACAAAAAAAAGAAATAGGGATGGTAATTTGTGATATTTAAAATACCCCAAAATTCCCAAATAAACGACTATAGTTTGGTAATGGGCTCTATACTCTATTATCCTATGATGTTTCCTTTATCTTTTCACTCTCTCCTTAAATATCATTTATAACTACCACTGATTCAATTTGATCATACAATCAGTGATAAATTCCTCAGCAAATATCCATATTATTTAACGTTTTTTTTTTAAACACCTAAGAAAACATAAACTAATACTTTGATATTCATATTTTTTAACAAAAATATAATAACCTTTATTTAATTAACAGTATGATATTTTATTCTATTTCTTACTTTATTAAGGAATTGTGAAGTNTAACCTTTATTTAATTAACAGTATGATATTTTATTCTATTTCTTACTTTATTAAGGAATTGTGAAGTAACAGTAGAAAGAGTCCTAAGCATAGGCGTTGCTTCTGCGTAGAATAATGATACTTTGTTAGCTACGTTTAAATTACTATTGGAATCTTCATCCTGATCTGCAAAAGAATGGAGAGCTGCTCCTCCCTCTCGCATCAAAACTCGTCTATAATAGCTAAAATCATTTTGAATGGCCGGGGTTCGCATCTATAAAAAAAAAAAAAATACCATAAAAATCGATAAAAGAAAAAACATTTTGTAGTAGAAAAGCACATACTTTGTATTCGTCGAACTTTAATACAAACTCAATGATCTCGGAAAACTGTTTGACTAGAGCTTGTTGGCTTTCTAGGTGTAGTGTAGGAGTTATGTCGTCTGAACATATTTCAGTCAATATTTGTGGAACAACAAAAGCTAATAATAAAAAAAAAATTCCAATTTCAAATTAAATAATTTTATAATTATATAATAGTTATAATAATATAATATAACGATTAAAAATATGTTCAATAATCAATAATAATAGTTTAATTCAAAAAATGTAATTTATCAACACTTTACACGAGTAAAAAAATTCAAGTTAAATTTATTCAAAGAATTTATTTAGAAAAAATTTAATTATTAAGTACTAATATCGTCTACTAACAAACTTTGACTTAAAAGTATATCAATTTGATAGTTACACATTGCGATAAAAAAACTTGATAAATTATTTAACCAATATATTATAAAGAGTTGTATATACATAAAATATGTATATACCTTGTAGTTACATTCTGAATAAAATTAAAAACATCATTAAGATGGAATATTTTGAACAGATTTATTAACCTACTAAACTAAAACTTACCTATTTTTTGAGAAAAAAAATAAAACCTCCTTAAGGTCCTAATGCGAGGCATTAACGCTTCCCATGTCAAAGCATTTTGCTCGGCACTAGGATTATTTATTGCGTCCCTAATGTACTGATCAGCACCTGAGTATTGTTTTAGCTCAGATAAAATGTCAGAAGCTTCTGTAAGCACAATTTGTACTTCGTCGAATAATTGCATTTCGCTCTCTGTGGGCTGGGCATCTGTAATAAAAAAATATAACATAATTGTATACACTTCAAAAATGTTAAGGTTTTAGTTAATTAGTTATGTCATCGGTCAATGTTAGATGCCTATTAGTTTTGCCTGTTGTCGCTAATAAAAAATAATGATAAGAGACACCATTCATTAATAAAAAATACAAGTTATGTTGTACTGAACTATTTTTAAACGATTTTATACTTCCTCTTCAAAGTCCTACTTTAATATTATTAAGGAAACACACACATTTACTATTTATCGCATAGTATTGCATTTCACTCGTAATGTAATTAAAATATAATAAAATTTTGATTTTCCTATAGGTAAATACAATAGATATAGAGACAATTTACAAAACATTTAATGAGTTCTACTTTTTGCAAGACTAATAACGGTATTTTAAAGAATATGGGATCATGGAAACTTAATTTATTCGGTGTAAATAATTTTGAAGCGTAGGCTGTCAATGCCAAATCAGACATATCCTGTAGCAGAAGAACAAATCAATTTGGATGACAGAAAAGAAAATAATAAAACCTACGCACGTTCTTAAATTCAATAGTAGCCCAATAAAAAATACGTAATAAAAAGTAACAGACTTGTCTTTTTCTCAAAAAATAAATAAAAAGAAAAGAATTAAGACTCTCTGTAATATAAAATTATTACAACAAACGATTTACTTACTTTCAAAATCTAAAAATATATCGTATTTTTGTTGAGCAGAACAGCAACTGTTCTCGTCTCGCGACAATAAACTTAACAACTTTCCCATGGTTCACCAGTAGGCCTGGTAATACGGATCTTGCAATGCTTGTAAATCTTCTGTAAAAAGTTGTTTGAAATTAGTATAGTTAAAAGAAATGTCTATATAGGTGTTTCATTGAGATGACTTAAACATGTGTTATTTTTTACGTAACATAAAAGATAAGGCAAAGAAGGCACAAAATGTTATGAAATATTAAAATTTTAATGACACTTTATATTTAACAAACCTTGCACATAACACAAACTTTTTTCATAGACTTACTTAATTATTTTTTAAATAACATTAGTTGCTATAGGTGATATCATTAATATTGGATTAAAAAATATAGTTGCTCCATTGATATTAATACAACAAAATAATAACTAGGAGATTACATTAATCAGGAACATGATTTATTTATTTTTCTAATATTTTACAAAATAATTTCAATTTATTTTCGTATACATGAACATTTTTTAAATATCTTAAAAAAAAGATCATTAGGCTTTTATCAAACAATTCGTAATTAGCATCTTATTATCATTTTTAGTTCAAAATTTGATTAATAATCGCAGCTGTCAATATTCACGTCATTAGAATAAATATATACAACAATAATTTCATCAAAATATCTACATCGTAAAAAAACACAAATGAATAGAAATTGTTATTTTAAAAATAAATTTTCTATTGTTTTTTCATAAATAATAAGACAACCAATAGCTGTATTTTTTTTATTCGTATACTTGAGATTTTTATGTATGCCACTATATTCAACATTAATTTAAAATACTCATTTTTATTCTAAAAATATATTTACAAACCGAATGTAATTTGAAAAATATGTTATTCCTATCTTGTTGACTTATACAGAATAACAATTTTAATTAATACATTTTAATATCGATAAATTAAAAAATATATAAATTCAATTACAAACTAGTAAAAGACCTCACAAAAATTAGCTTTTAACTAGAATCAAATTTTTCGTTTGAAATAATCCATTCAAGAAATATCTGATTACTTTCAAAATTTTAACACAAAAATTGTATCATCAGTAAATCAATAGTACTTTTCGTAAAGCATTACTTGAAGTGTTAATTTTATTAGCAGTAAATCAATACAGTTCATATGAAATATAACTTACACCTATTCATTAGCTATACAATATATGTCAACACAACATTTAGATATTTTATATTAAGTATTTCAAACAAATCCATTTAACCTACATAAAAAAAAACATTATTTTCCATCAGTTGGGAATTTGTAATACTAGTGTTTCAGATTATGTTGTTTTAAATGATCTATTGTCTTTTTAATTTATTATTTTTTTTTCTAATATGTCTGTGTTGTTTTATCCACCCACTTGACACTTTCAAAACTGATTGAAAACTATTTCCGGCAGTTATATATATACTCGATATAATACAACATCATGTTTATGTACACAAATTGTTACAAATTATCCACAATACTAAATTGAACGTGTGTAGTATGCTATTATTTATAAATTTTCTCACACACACATTACTACACTATTTAGAGCATCATCGTAATAGGGGACCATAGTACTAATCTTTATGGAGAGGAAAATAAAGACCAGTGGCCGTAGCTATTTGTCACGCCAAATTATTATAATACGACAAATCTAAAGTACAAAATGATTACTCAACAATGTAATCGAACTCATTTTAAAATAGTGACCAACAGCAACAAAACATAATCATAGTCTCAAATATTCTTTCGTTTTTATTTTCTTAATAATATATTGACTTTTTTTTTCAAATATCTTTAGTTAAAATATATAATATTCAAAGAATTATTGTATCTAATGAATAGGCCAGTTAATGATGGATATTGAAATTTGAAATAATAAAATTGACACTCTTATAAAGGGTAAAGATAAAAAATACTTCATGTTTCATAAATTAAAAAACATATAACTAAAAGAAACAAAAAAAAATATCGATATCATTTTAATTTTGTAATATAATAAATGTTTAATGATTAAATAATCACTCTGTATATAATAATATATTTTATGGTTGAAGATATGGAGAATTTGACATTGACTATGTAATTCTCTTGAAAGTCCTTAATTTACCGATTTAATCGTGGAAACGGTCAGGCAACAAGTTTTGCTTGAACGGTCGAGCAGTCAAACGGATATAATCCACAACAAAAAATGAAGTAAATATAATAAAATACAGTGGAATCTTTTACACAAAACATACAAATTGCGAACAAGAACAGTTAAAACCAGGGATTGGAACTTAACGCATTTGCTTATACTTTTGGATTAACATAATAAATAGCAGAATACTATACAAGTTTATGGCATGTTACAATGATATCCTACGTAAAATTTAAATGTGCTTTTTTTGCTTATTATGATGCTTTTTTTACAAATTATGCTTTTTTTAAATTTTTTTGCTTATTTTGTTCATTTAAATACAATTTATAATAATGACGCTAAAACATTTTGATTTTTTTATTATTTTATTTTAGGACATTTGCGAAAGAACAAACTAAAAATATTTTCATCACATACATATTTTTTTTTTTTTTTTTTTTTTTTTTTT